GTGTGTGTGTGTGTGTGTGTGTGTGTGTGTGTGTGTGTGTGAGAGAGAGAGAGAGAGAGAGAGAGAGAGAGAGAGAGAGAGAGAGAGAGAGCAAACGCCCACTTAGTTTTTCTGCCGTAAAGTGAAACGGGGGTCACACAACCAACACAAATCATTATGAATCGGGTGTTGAATATGTCCGGATTATAACGCATTCACCACACCTATTCATATAAGACTTGGGCCCCTTGTTTCATTTTTCGCTTGTTTTTTCGCACCCCACATAACTATCTGGGACCAAGTCCCCCCCTCTCAATAGAAGCCCCGCCAGCAACGTTGACGATGAACATTGAAAGCGATTAGGTGTATAAGGGTCTTATCCCACGCACCGCTTTTAAAAAAAAAAAAGGAAAAGTATAGTGAAAGTTGATTGTGCTCGGACCAGTTCGTAACAATGAATTGTCATCCCATGGGCCGGGCGGTCAAGTTGTTTTTCCACGAATGGTGTAAAATTGTCCTAGGCCTCGACAGTACCTGCGGATAGCAAATGGGCAAAAATTTGTAAAACTGTCGACTTAAGGGGGAGGGTAAGGGTCGGGCGCTTTTGGAAATTCTCAGCCAGAAGGTTGCGCTATACTCGTTGCATATTTGTCGTGTAGCGGGGAGAACTCATTAGGAAATGTTGACGACCTTGAAAGGCGCTTTGGGGGCATCGAGAAAGACGATTGAAGGGTGCGGTCGCTGCCGGTGCAGAGATCGGTAGGCGGGGTGGTCGTGGTTGGGAGTTGGAGGCGGGCCAACCTACAGTTGTGAAAAGCAGTAGGCGGGCCGTTTTTGTGGATGACGGTCAATTTTTCATTTCAGTCGAAACGATATTGGGCAAAGGTGCGATTCAAAATCAACTTTCAGAGGCCGTTTTCGCGGGCAGGATGAAGCGGATCCCGAGAGGTGTAGAACAGAAAATGCTACCGGCAAAGAAAAAAAAAAAAAAAAAAGTGGCAGTGTATATTTTCATGTTATAGTTGTAGATTCATTTGATTTTGCTCATCCTATCGATGAAAGTACCCTCTCTCTCTCCCTCTCTTGGTGTATATTTCCTTTAGCGGTAGATTCGTTCGATATTGCTCGTCCTATCGATGAAAGTACCCTAGCATAAAATTCATTCGATTTTTCTCATCCTATCGATAGAAGTAGCGTGAGGGCAGTTGCGGGGTTCGAGACTTACCTGTTGTCCTGTATGTTGCTCAACCAATCGATGAAAAACTCTCTCTCTCACACACACACACACATACACACACACACACACAAGCACGCACACAACAAATGTGGCAGTGTATATTTCCATGTTCTAGGGGTAGATTCATTCGATTTTGCTCATCCTATCGATGAATGTACACACACACACACAAATATACACACACAAACACACACACACACACATACACACATACACACACACACACACACACACACACACACACTCAGACACACACAAACAAGTGTGACAAGTATATTTCTATGCTATAACGGTAGATTCATTCGATTTTTCTCATTCTATCGATGAAAGTACCATGAGACCAGCCACGAGGTTGGAGACTTACCTGTTTTTTTTTCCCCTTCTGTGTGTGTGTGTGTGTGTGTGTGTGTGTGTGTGTATGTGTGTGTGTGTATGTGTGTGTGTG